AAAACGTACAATTTTAATAACAATTATTAAAAGTACCTATACTTTTATAATATACCTATAGGTATACATGTATACTGCAGTGAGGTTAATTAGATTGCTTCAAAAGCAAAGGTGTGTCAGAAGCAGGGCCGGCCCGAGGTACGGGCGAACCGGGCAACGGCCCAGAGCGGCATAATGGGGGGCGGCATTTTTACGATGTGTTAATGATAATCAATTTCATTCAACATACTAAACATTTTTCGATTGGCGATTTTTTGAAGAATTCAATGCTCGAGAAATGCAGTTTAGATAATTTAATATCTTTGTGTTTGACAATTGACAATTAATAATTGACAAATATTATAGGTATCACGATCGTGCGTTGTAGAATAAGTGTATTGCTAAGGTAGTTTTGCAAGAATTTGGAAAATGTTGCTGCCAGTACTCGATTTTCCGCCTCACGCGCCCTTCTCTGCAGTGGGATTCTGTAAGCACATAGAGCATAGAAATAAATTTCTTTCTATATTTATTACCAAATCGCTATTCTGTAAGTCACTTCGTGCGTTTCCGTGAACCATCGTTCGTAGCCGAACGGATAGAAATAGAAAGAGGGTTTTTGACATTTCCAACATAAATAAGCAACTTTTAAAGGTTATATTTTAATTCTTTCGGTATACGTAAGCAAAACAAAGTATTTTAGTATATAAAAAAAGTATGTAGGTAAGTATATACTATACTAACTATTCAATTCAATTATTTATTTCGTGTTAAGTTACACATGTCAATAGATATAAAAATTACATAAATAGTTATTAAATCTAAAAAAACATCACATCATTTTTTTTAAGCAATATATATTATATGAAATAATTAGCAAATAAAATAATAATAATAGCTATTATTATTAAAGGATAAAATATTATTGATCATATCAGTTTGTTTCTTGACGATGTAACGTTAGTCCAATTCATTGTTCATTGAAATATAAATTAACAATTGCATTTCGCGAACGGACTCATGCATCCCCTTAGATGATCCAATTGTTGGTGAGCACAATGTTCTAAATGAAGAAGTCCGTTCGCGAAATGCAATTGTTAATTTATATTTCAATGAACAATGAATTGGACTAACGTTACGGCATGCCGTTTCGTACACAAATATTGTGCAGCACAACACATGCATTTATTATGCCACAAACCTGCGGACTGTATCTCGATTTCCACAGATCTATGCAACTATCAACACAGTTACGAGCATGGTTAAAAAAAAGATTTATAAACAATCACAAAATAAGTATTATAAACATAGAATAAATATTATTATTTTTAGGTTAAAACCATTTTTTAGTACCTTAAACTTAAAAACGAAAAATTACTATGTGAAATTGGTACAAATCTTAGGGATTTTTAAAAAGTTACTAGAATATGAATGTTTTTAACATAGGTAGTACAGTAAATTTCTTTCAGTCGAACATTACCGATCTAAAAACCGAACACCGTCGGCCAAGAAAGAAATCGTCATACAGAATAGGTTGTAAAAAGGAAATGTCTTTCTATTTCTTTGCTATCTCTATTTCCATTTCTATTTCTTTTATTTACAGAATCCCACTAAAAAAAAAATTTCCGTAATCTTTTTTTCGTTTTTCAGACATTTTATACAAGTATAAGTGTATTGCTAATTGCTTAAGGTAGTTTGATAATTAGTAATAAGTTTAAACTTAATAATAATAATAATAATTATTATTAATTATCAAACTTATTACTAATTATCAAACTACCTTAGCAATACACTTATACTTGTATAAAATGTCTGAAAAACGCAAAAAAGATTACGGAAATTTTTTTAAAAACAAAAGAAGGGCGCGTGAGGCGGAAAATCGAGTACTAGTACCAGCTGGCAGCAACCTTTTCCAAATTCTTGCAAAAAGAACCATCGTGGGCAGGTATAATATTTATACTATAATTAAACAATATTGCATATATGAAAATGAAGTTTTATTTTTGTTGTGTACATCTAAACATTGTTTTTAGAGGTCTAAAATCAATGATTTGCCGTGCATCACAGCAGCATTCTGTTTTGCCAAAGTCCGCTAAACTCATTAAGTACGTAATTATTGAGTTAATTTACTTTAAAAGATGATTTAGTTGATGTATGTAAGCTACTTAAAATGTTCGGGTGCACTCGGTCTGTACACTTTTACATTAAAAATCCGATTTTTTAACAGCAATTATGTAATAATCTGAGCTATCGCGGAATATTGCAAAAGTAAATTTTAACAAACCAAATAATTCTTTTAATTTACAATTAATAATTAATAATTATTATTCTTGTAATATTGTTTAATTATACTCACTATAATAGTGACACTATTTATAGTACCTACCCAGATAGCACAAGAGGTACCCAGGACGTCCATTTCGGGTCCCACATAGGTCCGAACGTCCTAGACCTATATCGGAAGTTTTGGGTACGTCCAGTTTCTTACTTATTTGGGAAAATTATAGCGGATATACTGGGTACGTCCCAAGGACGTATTATTAACTCTTTAAGACGTCAAAATGGAAACGTCACATTTATGACATTTTAATGCGATTCTTTCTTCTCACCGCTGTAACTGTTTGTGTTTGATATAAGAAGCGGCGAAGTAAAATTTAGAGCGTGCTTCATACCAAGACCTAGGTAAACGGCTACCCGATACTGACGAGCTCCAAAAGAGGGAAACAGGCCGTCTATCGGTGCCGGTGAAGAGCACGCTTAAATTTAAACAAAAGTGAGACAAAGTAATCGCAATTCCTAAAATAAGCGAATACGAGCAAATTATTAAAATGATTTTAATAAAATCCATTTAACAAATTAATAAAATAAGACTTAATTAAGGCGTCATATTGCTGTCTGGGCCTTTGGGAATACCACTCTTCAATTCTGTAAAGCTTGTCCATTATAGCCCCCAATAAAGCATTTCAGGATGGCCAGAGGATGTCTTACTTAGGACGTTCTGGGGACCGACGATTTGGTAACATCGGATGTCCCTGGAACGTCCTGGGGAAGGTTCAGGACCTGATTCGGACGTACTCGGAACTTACTAATGTCTGATACAAGATATACTCAGGACGTTTTTAGTACTTCTTTGTGCTATCTGGGTATATAATAATATATATGATATCTATACCCAGATAGCACACAAAGTCTTGAAGATGTCTTTTGTATGTCTGTATTATGACTGAACGTCTGAAGATCTAAAAAAGACGTTTGAAAGACGTCTTTTGATAGACGTCTTAAAGATATCTTCATTTAATGTTCTAAAGACATCTTATAAATGCCTTATACCGCCGTTTATTTTTTTTTTAATTTTTTGATAAAATAGTGAATTTTGACAAGCAAGATATAATTAGGTACCATCTTATTTTGGTTTAATAGAAACAACATTAATGTAGGATTTTAAGTTTTGACGATGATGTTTAGGGTAACTGAATAAATATATATCTGACATTCTTGTAGATTGGTTATTTTTTCTGCAATTAATAATATCCATTTGTAATAAAAACATTATTAGCTACCACAGCGTAGACTCTGTGTTCTACTCTGTGTTAGCTACATTTTAATTACTTAATACCTTAAAAACGTTTTGGCGATGTAGCAATGCATAACCAAGACTTTTTCAATAGGTATTCTTTAACATCTTAACGACGTCTTAACAACCCCAGCAAACAAATTGACGTCAATATTACGTCATAATCCGGTCATCTATCGACGTAATGACGTCAGTGAATGACTAAAAAACGACGTGTTTAACACGTCACTTTTAGGGCAAAATGTCACAGCCCACTGACGTCAAAAAAATGACGTTTGATAACGTCATCTTATGACGTATATTATAATCACGTCATTGAATGACTAAAACACGACGTGTTTATCACTTTACTTTTAAAGCAAAATATCACAGTTCACTAACGTCAAAAAATGACGTTAACTCAGGTCATCTTATGACGTCAATTGTACTTTAATAGGGCCGTACTTGTCACATAACTGGTACCTTTAAGGCGATGACGAAAGATCACCAATAAACGACGTCTGAAACACGTCATCTGACGTCACTCTGTTTGCTGGGACGTTTAGCAACGACTTAATAATGCCGTTAAAAGGACATCTTAAAGACGGTGTGTTTTGTAACATTAGATATCTTAAAGACGTCTTTAAGTTTACGACGTACCTAAGTCATCTTAAAGTTTAAGATGACTTAGGTACGTCGTAAACTGGACGTCTTAGGGATGTCATAAACGTCCGAGTCCGACATCTTTAAGATATCTTTAAGATGTCTTTGTGCTATCTGGGTAGGTACCTAATCAATGATTAGTAATCATTGACGAGTAATGCAATTATGTATATATGTATATTTAACAGTAATTTACCTAGTAATTCTAAAGCTTAAAAAAATGAAAAAAAGAATTACGTTAAACCACTTTTTTTTCTATTCCTGCTGAATAAAAAGGGGGCAGCAAAAATATCTTCGCCCGGGGCGGCAAAAAACGTTGGGCCGGCCCTGGTCAGAAGTTCTGACTCAGAACAGTTATCGAATTTTTTGATTTGCCTAGCGAGTCTTTTACAGACTAGGGTGTAAAAAGATTCACCTGATTGGTCTAAATTATTTTTACAGCCTAGGAGATAATCAAATACTTAGTAAGCGTTGACAATAAAAAACTTAAATTATAGAACGCTTGAAGATAAAACCATATAACAAATATAAAACTACTTAAACATATTGTAAGTATTGTAGGTATACCTAAAATGAACTTAGTAAAATATTACAAATGCTTCTAGCCATGTAGTTCTAGGCAATCACAGAAAAACCCGAAGGGGCATAGTATGCCCGGCATACCTATAGGCAATCATGTTTACACTTTTGTATTCTGAGTTGCATGGATTTAAATACATAACGGTTATGCGCGTAATCGTAATGCGCACGAATTATTACAAACATCTTCACGATTTTACACATGTTTCAAATAGAGGGAGACAAGTAGCGCTTCATTTATTTGCTGTTTTAGAATTTTATGGTTAGGTTTTGTGACAACAACAATCTATTAATAAACTGTCAAGTGTCAGTACAGAATTTAGAAAAAGAAGCTTTGAAATCTAGGCTCTAAAGTTTGACAATTCCAATTGTAAATGGTTATTGTTGGTTAGAGTTTGTACCTAAGCATTGTAGGTAATTTTTATAATGTGCTCAAAAAAATATTTTCCCATGGTTGATAAAGCCATACATTGTTGAAAACTACTTTTTATGAAACCTTTCTTTTCTATATACTGCACTGAAAAATTTATAAAGTGCATCTGTAAAATTTAAAAAAGAAAATTTACATGGAAAGTAAAACAAAATACTACACTGTATATAATTAATGGATTTTAAAATTTACTATAATCTGTGGTTTTCAAAGTAAAAACATCGTTAATTACAAGTCTAATGGCTTTTCCTATTCTTGCATTTAAGGCTGTTAATTATATATACTACCTATTATTTTTAGAAGTTAAACATGTCTGAATGCTACCCTTTTAAATCTGATCGGACTCTTATTCCTCAAGAGCATATAATTTGGAATGATGGAGAAACTTCCACAAGACCCTCGATGCCCCAATTTTCAATAACCACAAATGCTTTGGGTGAAAATGAATGTTTTGTTACTTCAGAGGGCACTGAATACTTGACTGAGTTGGAAAACACAAATGATATTGCTTTTGGTGACCTGCACAATATTGCCTTGGAACAACCCGAAAATGTACAGTTTGAAAGTATTGACGAAGCAAATCAAGATTTGCAAAACCAGGTTATTGTTTTTAAAGTTGATGGCTCTGATGAGCTGTATGGAATGCAAATGGTGCAAGATGAACATGGAAACATTGAAAAATATCAGTTTAAATTTGGGTAAGTTTTATTTTTAGGTTTTTATAATAGGTATACCTAAATTACTTATATACAATTTATATACAAGGTGTCCTTAAACTTATTGGCATAAATTTAGGAAAAGATTGAGCAAGTCAAAATAAGACGAAAACCTAAATAAATATTTTTCCTAATTACTTAGGTTTCCAAGATATAGGGTGATAAAGTGTTACCTATCATATCAGTTTTTTTAACATAACTTCTACTATGGTAGTCTTGGAAACATGATGTTTTGCGAAAAGTCACTACCAAAACATATATTCACACATAATTACAATTGTTTGAGTAAACACAGTGTCGTAGAAACGGGGGTTGCTTTAAGCTTATTGTCCCATACAAACTTTGAGGTTAGGTTTTTATAACATTTGATATAATTTTTCGATTACACAGTTCATCTACCATTTAAAAGGTGTACTTACCTCTCAAACTTCGATAAAATAAACCGTTTCCGAGATATTCGAGATTACAATAATTATTATATCGCATTATTTAAAAGGATTAAAAGGTATAGGTATATGATAACAAATTTTATTTTTTAATTAAAAAAACTAAAAACGGCGTTCCATGAGCCTCGAGACTTTTTGCCCTGACCGTCACATTAAAAAAAATTGTAGTTTTTTCAATTAAAAAAATTAATGCGATATAACAATTATTGTAACCTCGAATATCTCGGAAACGGTTAATTTTATCGAAGTTTGAGAGGTACACCTTTTTAATAGTAACCGCACTGAGTAATCGAAAAATTGCATCAAATGGTATAAAAACCTAACCTCAAAGTTTGTATGGGACAATAAGCTTAGGCAACCCCTGTTTCTACGACACTGCGTTCACTCGAACAATTGTGTGAATATGTGTTTTGGTAGTAAGTGAATATGTGTTTTGGTAGTAAGTGACTGTTCGCAAAATATCACCATTCCACCATAGTGGAAGTTATATTAAAAAAACTGATTTGATAAGTAACACTTTATCACTCTATATCTTTTAAACATACCTAATTAGGAAAAATATTTATTTAGATTTTCGTCTTATTTTGACTTGCTTAATCTGCTCCTAAATTTATGCCACTAAGTTTAGGGACACCTTGTATAATATACCCTCGAATATACCTATATTATATAGGTAGATTATTTTGATTAATGACAAAGCAATATCTAAATATTAAGTAATACCTACCTACTGGCTTTATTACCATTAAACGATTTATTTAAAAAAAAAATTGACAATATTTTACAATTTTCCAAAAATAATTTACTAATTTTAATTTATTTTTACCATTAGTTGTGTTCTTAAATTATTTTGTTTGTTTAAAAGTAAAAATTAAGGGAACATTTTTTGATTTGTGATTAATGTTTAGATTTGAGAGAACCCTGGTTATAAGCACTTACATTTGGAAGCATTAAAGGATAAAATGTACTGTTTATAGCACGTTCTCACACTTTACTTAATTTTAAACTTAAATTAAAAAGAAACTATGGACCAAATTGTTATCCTCTCTCTTGTAAAGGTGCTATCAGTACTTCATAGTGGTTCAAAATAAAAATTATTAGTTTGACAGTTTAGGGAATCAAAAGTTTTTGTTTTATTTTAAAATTTGCATTATGAATTATGAGGAAAAAATCGCTTGTTAATTCTTTATGACAAATAGAGTTTAAAAAAATCAAGCTTCAGTTTTTAATGCCTAGAATATGCTGTATAAATTTTATCTAAATTCATCAAGTTATTATTAACATTATGTTAATAACATATATAATAGCCAGCACGTCCGAGAAGTTTAAAAAACGAGTTTTAATCTGCCTATGTAGTAATAGAACTACTTTAGGGTTGGGACAGTTGACATTTTCAAATAAAAATTTCAACTTTGAAAGCAATATTTCATTTAGTTGGAAAAGTGAAATTTTTAAAAATTTCAAATGAAATTTTCAATCCGAAAATTTCAACATTGCCTGTGAAAGTTTCGAATCGACCAATAAGAACGAGTTATGAAGCGTCTGGGCGTTTTTGTTTAGTTCGGCTTGGATTTGAATATACTATAAGTAATTATTGTTACTTATATGCATAAATTAATTTAAATAATTTAATTCAGTTACCAATTTAATTTGTAAATTAAATCAGACTTTAAATTTTTTTTAAAAGTCATGATTAATTTAAACTTTTACTTTTGCTATAATTGCATCGGAAATCGGATAAAAAGCCTTTGGCGCATAAAATTTTGATGAAGCTTCTTCAATTTTCGTAAAGTTTTAGTAAATTATTTAAAAATAATAAATATAAAACAATGAAAGTGGCACAATCTCATTAGCTTACCAAAAAGTGCTATATATCTTTTAGTTTTAGTAATTTTAAAAATATTTTAAAAGGAAATCTCAAGAAATTTGTGGTAAACATAGGTATTTACTTTTTATATTATTGGTGCAGGGGCCCACAGAGGGGTAGGAGGTAAGAGAGGCAATTTGCCTGGTCCCCGAGTGGGCTTATTTCAATATTAATATATTACACTTAAAGTGATTGAAATTTATTGAAAGTTTCAATAAATTTCATAAATTTCATAAAATTTCAGAAATTTAGGAAATTTTAATAAATTTCATAAATGTCATGAAAATTTTAAGTGAAATTTCAAGTACAAGCAAAAAGTGAAATTTTCCCAACCCTAGTAATAGTATTAGTGGGAGAAAAGGGAGATAGTATTAGTGGGAGAAAAGGGAGATTCCTCGAGCGTGAAGTTAGCCAATAGTATTTGATAAGTTATCTGACATTTGACATTGGTAACTTTTCCAATTTTAATTTAAAGCTAAAGCCCGTGGGCGAAGTAGCTAAGAAATGACAAATTAGGGAATTTATTATTTCAACCACCCTCATGGGGGTAGGAATTTTATTAAAGTAAAATATTTCTAGTAAAGTATTCTGTAAAAATTTCAAATTGATCCGATAAATTGTTTAAAAAAAACTAAAATAAATGTTGATTCAACACTCTCAAGAAATATGTTACTTTGTGGCCCTTCTGCAGAAGGTCCACAAGTATTTATTGTAGGTTATTTTTAAAACAATTTATCGGATCAATTTGAAATTTTTACAGAATACTTTACTAGAAATATTTTACTTAAAAAAAATTCCCAGAAATAATTTTTTGGAAATTTGAATTTCAAATAATATGATATGATAATATCATAATATAATATATTACATTGATTTTTTTAAAATTTATATCACGATTTAAATAAAAAAAATATGTAAATTAATTAATTTGGTAGAAAACAAAAGAAATAATATATAATTCTAATAAAATCTTTAAATTGTTAAAAAAAATTCTTATCGTATAAATTTTGTTTATTTTGTTGTAGTTTTATAAAAAAAATTGGAATTTATCGTTGAGTTTATATTATTGGATATATGTTATTTGTTTGTTAGTTTAATTTTATTTTGTTTTGTTTTAAGAAAAGTTCTTTTTGTTTATAGGGTCAGTCCATGTCAACTCAACCACCTCAGATTTTCTTAAAATTTGATATACTTATACTTTGTACTAAGACTAAGAAAAATACCAATTTCTAAATTTTTATCTCACACCGTTTCCGATATATGGCTATCTAAAGTTTTTAAAAACTCGCGAAAAAAGTGTGAACGTGTATTTTTTAAATTGCCCTGGAAGCTGTCCTAATTCAGCTAGAACGCTGGGAGAGGTGTCATTTTGCAGCATTTTAAATGCTCTTTCATACGAACGCCAAGGGTATTAATGAAAAGATTTTGTTCAAAATCCATATATATATATTTTGATTCAATTTTTTTTCAAAAAGTACATAATTTAAAATTCTCAAAATATTTGTATAAATACTTAGTACTGTTTTAAACCATATAGTAAAATATAAATGTGGGGTCTTAATGGGTTCAATGTTAAAAAAATATTTTTGTGATGCTGGTTTTTCACTTAACTAATTTTGACAGTTTCGTTACATCTTTCCTGCAGGTATGACAAATCATGGAGCCAATAGGCATTTGTGGAAATAATCCAGTCATCCATGCTGGGACTTTCTCAGTTTTTTTCTGTCTCTAATAAAATGATTTGTTTTTTTCATTGGATTATAACACTGCACTATTACAATAGTAGGCTCCATGTTGACACCAAAATCACTTTAAACACACCTCATTTATAGTTTTATTTTTTAAATAAACTACGAATATATACAGGGTCCGATAAAAGTTCCCTGAATTTTTTTTTAATCGAGTTTAAAATTTATCAATAAGGTTTTCGCGGAAATTGTTTGCTCGAGCAGGTTCCTAGAACCCTTTCAATTCTGAAAATATTCATTTTATGTTGTTCTGTTTAAAATTTAGTTCAATATGAATCGCCAAAAAAAGCGTATCACAGTAATTGAATTAAAAAAGTCGGGAATGTAGGCAGCCGATATTATTAGGGTTCTTAGAACCCTTATATTTTTGAAAATATTCATTTTATGTTGTTTTGTTTAAAATTTATTTCAATATGAATCGCCAAAACAAGCGTATCACAGTAATTAAATTACACAAGTCGGGAGTGATGACAGCCGATATTATAAAAAAAAATACAATTGTCAGGCTTAAGCCTGATAAACGTTGAATAATGTCAAAATTAGTTAAAAGTGAAAAACCAGCATCAGAAATATTTTTTTGACAATGAACCCATTAGGACCCCACATTAATATTTTATTATATGATTCAGAACACTACCAAGTATTTATACAAATATTTTGAGAATTTTAAATTATGTACTTTTAAAAAAAAATTAAATCAAAATATATATATGGATTTTGAACAAAATCTTTTCCTTAATACCCTTGGCAGTCGTATGTCATTTGAAAGAGCATTTAAAATGCTGCAAAATGACACCTCTCCCAGCTTTCTAACTAAATTAGGACAGCTTCCAGCGCAATTTAAAAAATAAACGTTCACACTTTTTTCGCGAGTTTTTAAAAACTTTACATAGCCATATATCGGAAACGGTGTGAGATAAAAATTTAAAAATTGGTATTTTTCTTAGTCTTAGTACATAGTATAAGTATACCAAATTTTAGGAAAATCTGAAATGGTGAGGAAAAATTTCTTTTCAAAATGTGTTGATTTGGCATGGAATGGCTCTATACTTGTATTGTAAGTATATTGATTATTTCAAATTAATATTAAATTTTAAAAAAATAAATGATTAAAATATACCTTACTTGTTAAGTACGACTAAATTTATTCTAATAAAAGACGAAAAAGTTTAGGTGGCCACTGAGGACGGATTTTTTTTTACATTGTGGTACTTCACTTGTGGATACAAAAAAGTCTACTAAAAATTACCTAAACCTGTAACTTTTAAGGCCTTTCTTGTTTTAAGAAAAAAAATATTTTTTTTTATTTTTTTCACAAAAAACAACCCTGTATTTTTTAACCTGTCTCGGATAAATGGAAATTATTTAATACTTAATTATTAAATTGAAAGTAAGTATTTGTATGTTTTTATCGTTAATGCCTATTTTAGCGACTCCCACATTCCATATTTAGATTAATTACCACAAATTGACCCAAATATTTTTTAATTTTAGAACAAATGAGAGTGGGGAATTGGAAGCAATACCTGATACCATCCAGTTGATACCTAGCGATGATTCAGAAAGAAGAGAAGAAGTAATTTTAGAGGAACAAACAGAAGGAGTAGAACAAACAGAACCTGAACTAAATATTTTCGTAGAAAATTCCGAAATTAATATGCAAGCGGGCGAAATTCAGAGTGAGCCTGAAGATACTTTTGACGAAACGGTAGAAACCCCCCATGATTTAGAGGAAGAGACTGGTAAGGATATGGCTTTAATTAGTTTAATGTATTGCTAATATTTTATAAATTTTAGAAACAGACATTTCTGCAACTAGCAGAATTAGAAATGTAAAAGAAGAAATCATTACAGAAGAATCTTGCCCTCTTGATGAAAATGAAGCTCTTAACTGCAAACAAGAAAACGAACATTTAATTGAATATCATGAAACGGAAGAGTATTTTCAAAACGAAGATTCAAATGAAAATGAAGTAAACGAAAATGCAGAGGAAAATCATTTTTCGGAATATCAAGAAATATACATAAACGAACCTTCTAGCGGAAATCTCGAAGCTGGAATGGAAATGGATCATCTAGAGGAAAACGAGCTGGAAATGATGGAAGACGAATCGGAAAACGAGTATCAAATTATAGAAGGCATGCCGGTGACAGCTGAAGCGGAGCCGATACAACCCATGCACGGAACGGATACCATTCTACAAACCGTACTTGAACAACCTTCGAACGCAAACATAATAAAGCAATACAACTCGAAAGTGGACGCTGAAGGCAATAAAGTGACTTACTTCATTGTACAGCCCGTGCAAGAAAAAGAGAATGTAAACAACTCGGTATACAAGCCGGCCAAAGCGAATCCCAGAAGTATATTGAAGACCTCTTATGTTCCGCCGGCCCCCGTCGATTTGCCGGAGTACGACGAAAAGATGGACAAGAGGTTCGCCAAGAGCAAGGAAGCGATTCAGGCGAGGCAGTTCCACAACTTCATCACTAAAACAACGATACCTCATGCGCCAGTGCGTAGCGAGCGGTTGCCGAGGAAACAAAAGATAAAACCAGTTAACGACAGAATCGACGAGGAGATCATCGTGCAGGAAGTGATGGTGTCGTCCAGTGGAGTGATAGAAACCCTGGACAACCCCAGGAACCGCCGTGACAACGTGACGGTCACGGAGTACGTGGAACTGACCGATTCGGACGATGACAGGAATCGTTTCAGCGAATCCGATGACAGCGTCATCGAGATCTTCAATTCGGACGACGAGGTGGAAACGCAGAGGAAACGCGGACGCCCACGGAAAAGCACGAGCGTCAAAAAGAAACGCGGCAGGCCAATTTTGGACAGAAGTACCGTAATGCACGCGGACGAAGTAAAATGTCCGAGGTGTCCGAAAACTTTCCCCAATCAAAATAGCTTGAACACACACATACAACATCATAACTTAGAAACGAGTTTGTTGAACTCAAAATCTAAAAACGCCGTACTAGAATACAAACACAAATGTGATAAATGCCAGAGTACCTTTAAAAACACAATACTACTTAAAAAGCACGTTTGCACAGAACCTGCAAATGACTTAGTATGTCCTATATGCAAGAAGAAATTTAGTATTGTGACGATGTTTAACCTTCATAAACGTATTCATGTTAAAGAACATGTATTAAAACTAACGTCTCCCTTAAGAATCTCTCAGAACAAAGCTAAGGCAACTATTACTAAAAACGCAACGTTTAAATGTAGCGATTGTCCGAAATATTTTAAATCAAAAGATTTGCTTAGTGATCACTCCAAAATTCACAAAAAGTTTTGCTGTTCTAGTTGTGCCAAGTTCTTTTCCTCCAGAATACTACTCGACACGCACGTTCGGGAAAAATGTGTAAAATTCAAACCATCCCCACAAAACCGAAGATTATCCTTCAAAACCAGAACTTCGCTTACCAAAAGAAGATCTTCCTTATTTAGGCCCAAAAAATTAAACACGGCAAAAACGAATTCTAGCTTACTAAACACACCATCGTCGTCAAATAAACAAACGAAGATCGATTGCGAGAGTTGTCCGATGAAATTCTCGTCCCATAAGCAGCTTTTCACGCATAAGGTTGTAAAGCATGGACAGGACACTCCGGATAAAAGTATTTTGGTTAGCAAGTCTCGCAAAAGTTTGTACAAACCGGTGAGCACCCACGGCGGCATCCCAGTCAACGACAGGCTCAGAAAAGCTTATGCAGGTCTAAAGCAGAAATTGGAGTGTTCGCAAAACCCGTAACTTTTTTATGGGATTTTGTACAGTTATTACATTTTGTAAAAAAATTGAATTAAATATTATATTTATACTTATTTAGTTTTTGATATTAAAGTATTTAAGAAATAGTTAATTTTTTTATTCAGTTAAATCCTTGGCATTAATTGAGGAGCATCCGTGCAAAACCTATATCCCCTTAAATAAAATGTTGGGAAAATGGCAAAAACTCTCGGTTTCCTGGCCTTTACAGATAAAAGAAAAAGCAAACTTGAGTTTTGTGGGCTTTGTGGTACTTGATTTATAAGACATACTTTCGTTTTCAAAAACTTTATATTAAGGCCAAAATTTTAAAAAATGTTTTGTATATAGCCGGTTTTGCTCGAAAACCGAATAAAAAACGAATAAAATGTGAAAAAAAAACTTTTAATATTCAAAAATATTAACAAAATAAATTTAGTGCAAACATGAAAAAACATAACAAATTTTAGTAGTAGTATCGACATATTCAAGCCACAAATTATTTATTGGATATAGCTGGGTTTCCTATAAAAACGAGGATTTGGCCGGTTTTGCTCCTAAAGCTACCTTTTAAATGTGATTTTAACATGGATATTGTCGGATTTAAACAGAATTATCTTGGTTGTCGATAGAAATGAACCCAAAGATGCGAAATAAAAAAAAACAAAAACTGAATAAAATGAATTTAGCCGGTTTTGCACGGATGCTCCTCAATTTAGATATACCTATATATATATATATATATAGTTACTTTATTTCAAGAGTTTGATAAATAAATAACAGAAGGCCGAGCCAGCATATTTAGCGGTGTCGATGTAGTTAAAATAAAACGTTGTATTAACAAATTAATACTTTATTACAAATAAAGTACCATTAAAAACTAAAAACAATATAAAAAGTAAATGAGTAACAATATATATTGTCAATTTGTTGTTATAATGGTAAGTTGGCAACACAATAGTATATTATCTACTCCTACATTGACGAGCTTTGACTTTATGGCGTTTTATTGACGGGCTGAAGTTAACAACAGTGGCTTTTCGACATTTTACGTCACGGGCTGAAGTTAGCTTCTTCTTCTTCTTCTTCAAACTTAATGGCCTCTAGCGTAATTAAACGCTATTTGGCCAGCACATTATATTTTTAATTTTCTTTAAAATGATCAAGGGTCTCATTTAAGAGAGTCTGAGATTATCTCATCCCTTGAATCAGTTATATATTCTTACTTATTTATTCACTTTTATAGAACCATGTCATCTTTTCATCACTATGCACACATGGCTTCATGCACAGAATTTTCCAAGTGTCTTCAATCTTTAAACATCCAAACCATCTCTTGATTATTTCCATATATTTTTATATATTCTTAAATAAAACCAGTGTGTTTCTACGCTGGGAGTCCAATTTTGTCTCTCCTGGGTCAAAGTCAGCTATGTTTCATACTTTTCATCGAGCGATGCACTACACACGAAAGACAAAATCGGGCTGAAGTTAGCTTTATTATAAATTGGGAAAAAGTGAGGTTAAATTCGGGTGACAGTTGACAGATGTTAAAATTTTAACAAATAAATTGGCTTTAAATTCTGTTTTTTTTGTCATTTAAAATTTTACATTGACAAGCTGTGATTTTATTGCTCTAGTTAACAACAGTGGCTTTTGGGCATTTTATTCCACATACTTCCACACATGGATGTATGTTTGGAAGTATGTGTTTTATTCACGGTCTTCTTCATAGAAAAAGGTCTTCAAAGAAGATCTTCTTTGATCTGAAAAAACATCTTCGTTTCTTCAGGGGGATGGCCTTTAGCTTAGTTAAAAACTATTTGGCCAAGTCACGGTCTGAAGTAAGCTTCTTCTTCTTCTTAATTCTGAGAAATGACCTTTAGCTTAATTTAATTAATTTCTGTTAGTCGTAGATAAAGTATACTTTATCTACGACTAACAGAAATAAGAATTTAAAGCCAATTTTAATTATATATATATACAGGGTGTTTCATAATATATGCGCAGGACTTCAGGATGTGTTAGCTCATCCAAAAAGATGAAAAAAGTCGCTATTAACTTACCCTCTAAAATGCACAATTTTCGAGATACAGGGTGTTGATATTTTAGAAAAAAAATCGTTTTTTTCGATTATCTCTGGAACCGTTTGTCGTACAAAAAACAGCTTTTGTAAGCATTTTCTACTCATAATAAGCTATGTTTTGTGCAAGAAAAAAAATTTTTTTTACTCATAATTGGTGGAGATTGTGAAGGGGTAGCGGGTGTTTTTCTCCTCAACTTTAACGCCCCTGAAAAAAGTACGGTTTTGAGAGGCTCATTCGAACCGCCAATGTTTTCTACACAAAAAAGGTACTCTTGGTCATAAGCTCTAAAGTTGACCGTTTTCGAGAAAAATCAACTTTTATGTTTAAAAACATGTTCAATTAAAAAAAAAAAAAAATTATTACTAATTAAACAAAATTTATTTTAACGTTAGAAAAAGTAACAAAACCAAACGATAATTGCAAAATTAAAAAAAAAATAAAAAATGATTTTTTACACAAATGCTGAAATGTTCGAAATGCGTAACGCTTTACGGTTTGAAGAATTTAGCAAAGACAACTTTTGAATCATTTTTTATTTTGCAATTATGGTTTGGTTTTGTTACTTGTTCTAACGTTAAAATAAATTTTGTTTAATTAGTAAAAAAATTTTTTTTTTTTTAAATTGACCATGTTTTTAAACATAAAAGTTGATTTTTCTCGAAAACGGTCAACTTTAGAGCTTATGACCAAGAGTACCTTTTTTGTGTAGAAAATATTGGCGGTTCGAATAGGCCTCTCAAAACCGTACATTTTTCAGGGGCCTAGAAGTTGAGGAGAAAAACACCCGCTACCCCTTCAAAATCTCCACCAATTATGAGGAAAAAAAAATTTTTTCTGGCACAAAACATAGCTTATTTTGAGTAGAAAATGCTTACAAAAGCTGTTTTTTGTACGATAAACGGTTCCGGAGATATTCGAAAAAAACGAATTTTTTTCTAAAATTTCAACACCCTGTATCTCGAAAATTGTGCATTTTAGAGCGTAAGTTAATAGCGACTTTTTTCATCTTTTTGGATGAGTTATCACATCCTGAAGTCCTGCGCATATATTATGAAACACCCTGTATAGTAGGTACCTATGCAACTCGTTTTATAAACTTCTCTAGACACTCGTTTTTATCAAAATCCTTCGGCTTGCCCTAGCCGCTAGTAGCCGGCCCGCTTACGGCTGGAATACGGCCTGCTGCGGCATAAGCGATACATCTCACGGCTGCTTACGCACGCTAGCTAACTATAAATAGCGATTGGTTGCAATATTTAGTTGGAAGTGTGCGTCCGTAATGACCAGGGTAATGACATAGCTAAAGATTAATTAACTCCCCATCTCCATCCTCATCTGCTCAGTAACGAAAAATGTGTAGCTAGTCGAGTGTGTTAAAGAAGTATCTTGCCATTCAGAGAATTTCAGGACTGAACTTATAGGGTACCTATCCAGGACGTCTGTAGGCTTTTTTTGAATGGCCAACTATACACAGCCGACACTCGGCCGAGTAAACATAGCCGACATTCGGCCATGCGGATATGCCCGACAGTTGGCCAGGCGGACATGCCCGTTCTACACACCGGAAGAAATACGTGTGTCGAGACGCACCCCAAGCAACAATTTAAGTATTTGTTACGTATATGGGACTATTGAAGAAACTTCAAAGTGTTTTGCGACAGTCGCCGGTCTCTTTATATTACTCTTTCATTACTACGTTACGACTAAAGTGGGGAACAATTATTGAGTTCCAAAAAGGTAGCAAATATGTCACTAGCTACCAACCCTGCTACTATTTGGGACGTAGCTGCTACGTTACTAGAACGTTCCAATATCGTTGCTAGAGCGTTATAATTACTTTTATTATTTGTTTTTACTTCTATATTAACTGTCTTTGTCAAACTTATATTAGATTATACTATCCCTCCTTTTTTAAATGGAACCACTACGGACTTGGCTTTTCAATGTAGTCGTTTATTAAATATGTACTGGTAGTTTATAACTTCCAGAATAACAATATAATGTTTATAATTAGACAGGTAGATTTATAAACCCTTTAAATTTTACTGTTGAACTTATGAATTTAGTTTTTGTAAAATAAATGCGCTTCATCAATATTTAAGTATAAACAAATTATTTATTTAGTAATGTTTATAAATAAAAAAATCTTAATATTTATTATTATTTTTTTTATTTAATTATTAATACCGTCTATTACCAACAATATTTCTATTTATTAAAAAGTAAACAACCATTTACAAACAATTAAAATAATTTATTATTTACATTACCACGTGGTACTGTACAGTAAAAAATGGCCGATAAGAAGCATTTTCCTTTGAAGTAGTTTTCGCTACTTTAAAGTTTTTTTCCACTTTACGGTTGTTTTGGTTAGTACCATAAACGTTCCAAATACTAAAATAATAACTTTTAAGTTATTAACTTTGTAGTTTTTAACTCATGTTCCAGTTTCGAGATTTTAACTTGCAAAGGGACTACAAAGTAAAAATAATTATAATGTAATCTTTAGGTAGCAACCGAAAGTAACTGCTACAAATTAAATTTACTTGAAAGTTTTTTTTACTTATAACATCTTTTTTAAAGTTGCAAAGTCTTCTTGGGGGCAACCAAGTTTTACTTAAATGTTTATTACTTTATAGTAACAATTTAAGGAAAAATTAAGTTTCTGTTACAAAATATTGCTATTTAAAAGTTAGAATTACTTTTAAGTAAAAATTAAAGTAGCTGTTTAGTATACCTAACTAATTTAAAGTTATCACCACTTTGGCAATGGTTTTTGGAACCAAAAATGCTGCTTGGGACGCGGCCGATTCGGCAAAACGTATTCGGGCCGGCTAGCTTGTGCTTTCTGGGTAACCTTTCTTTAACACCTTGTACAATAAAATTCAGGAGTGGCACAAAAAACTGACTAGTTTTTTCGAGTCCTATGAAAATATATACTAAAACAATATTTTAGTTTACCATGCTTTAATGCCTAATATTTATAAATATTTTAAACATAAAACACATTAAAAAATGACTTCACTTTTGTAATTTAGATAAAGGGGCTTCTCCCAAGTACACTTATTACAAAGGGAATGCAATTATTATGTAAATCATATAAATATAAAGAAATATTTTAAAGATGTAACAGATGATTCAAGATTGAAAATTTATAGAAATTTTCAGATTTTGGATAACTACGTATATTCTTTCACCTGAGCACTAAATATCTTTTTCATAAAAAAAAATCAACTTTTGACTGGTTAGAATAAAAGAGCCCCAACAGCTCGTGGAACCCCGGATTTAGTGCATACAATTGAAGACAGGGAGAAAACTGAAGAAATGCTTATGCTTCCTATTTAATGCTTTACAGCACAATGTGCAGCAGGTCTTGTCTTATTGAAGATTTTTTTTTATTTCCTACCAAGTATTCTTATTTCATTACAACAAAATTATAAGAGCTTAGTAAGTATAGAAATTCTATTAACGCAAATTCTAATACATAAAAAAAACAATTTATTTTCTTTGAAAATGTATTTGCAAATACATACATGTATACATTAAAATCCTAACATCCAGAGTGTAGAGTTTGTGAGGTATAAATACCTAATTAAAACCTAGAATAAAACAATTACGACAATTCAATACTTTATAGCATGCAAATAATACATACATACAACTGGACTATCCTATTGAGAGTGCAGTAAACTAAAACTGGTAATGCAAAACTCATTCACACAAAAGTACACATTAAATTTGTTTAGTTGTCAGCCGTTTCCATGCTTTCATCCCCCTCTGCTTCCATATCCTCATCTTCATCCTCTCCTTCCTTCTTTTCTGGTGGATTTTCATATGCCTTGTCGAGTGGTGAAACTACAACACCATCCCAAACGGACATTTCCTTGGCAATGGAACAATTTCCCTCCAAGCCAAGAATGTGTTTGTAACCACCATGTGCCAAAACTCTTAACAAAGTTTGAGCTGTCAAACAGCACAAGTCCAGTTGTTCCAAGGTCATGGCGGTGTGAATCCTGGGGCTTACGCCTTCACAGGGATCTGTTATACCTGCAGAACCAGGTAGGAACAAACCAGCCGATAAAAGCTGGAACACCCTTCTGAAAGCAACATTAATAGGCAAAGCTTGTCTGCTTGGGTTATGCATAATGGCAAAATGTGCCAACAAATCCAACATCCATGGAGTTAGAGGCTCAAATCTGTCAAAACGATTTCTAACATCTCTCAACAGCCTAATGAGAACTTTTATGGAGGAATGGTGGGCATTTTCTTCAAACCATCTGCTGTGACGGATAGCAGCCAAATGACTTAACATAATTTTTTGGTCTAAATGGATTTCAGGGTCCAATTTTCTGATGTTGTGATGCAATGTGGTCACCATCACCCTGACGCATGCAAAACTGTTACTGATTTCAATTCCTCTTTCATTTGTTGTGTGAGTTAGTTGCTCTCCTTTTGGAACTACCTCACTTTTCATCAAGTTTTTGAGATCCTCTTTTACTTTGTTACCCAGAGCTTCAACTGCTTCTCTTGTTGGAAGAGTTTTTAATATTACAACTATATCAGCTACATTGTGGCCTGTAACCATTGTTCCTTTCTTAAAAGAACCCACTTGACGTACTTCATCCAATTGCTAAAATAACAATTATATTAACTTCTTTATAAATAAATTTAAATACACAGCTGTTCTTTATAAAAAGGGGAAGTATATAACTGCACGCCAGGAGCGAGTATTTTTTTCCGACGAAATAGTGTAAACTCAAGTGTGAACGAACGCCAACAAAGATCGGTGACCCGCCAAACATAGCATTGCTATGATAGCAAGACAATTGAGGGTTGCTTTACTACAAAACAGCATTTTTAAACGCCGATAATAAGATTTATTTCCACCTTCTTAGTAAATGACATATAATACGTTAATTTTGTAACCAAGTAAACGATTAATTATGAGAACAGATTGTAATTGTAATAATTTTATTTTCTAGTGTAGTATTTTTGGTGTATAAAGGTCTTAATTAAAAAATGTTGTATTTTATACACAATTACATATGAGGTCCTCCTCACTCCATATTAGGCAAAATGTCAAAAACCTTACACGTGAGTACTAACGCATATCAGGCCAACAGAATACTTTAAATAAAATATATAAGCATAACTATAAAATTTATATACCTTGATTAAAAATTGAAATTTTAAATAATTTAAAATTACATACGTATAAGCCAGTTCTGACATGATATAACCTATAGGTATGGCAAGTTGTGGAACGATAGTCAATTTGTAAATGAATTTTCAATGGAATAAGGTGAGTTTTAGAATATTATGACCTTTTCAGGTCATGTGGGGCTACATGTTAAGCTGGGTACAGACCAAAAACAAAGAGTTCGCGAGCTGCTCGTGAGCTGCTCGTGAACAGCTTCCAAATTGAACCCGAGCAGCTCGCGAACGTGCCGTCCACACTAGAAAAGTTTGCACGTGAACAGTTTCGGTGAGCAAGTTCGTCCGAGTTCGTCGAGGGTTCCATAATTTCCAAATTCAAATTTAAACATTTAAATAAAAATAATGTCATCGCTGCAAAGCGATGAAGAAAGCGATCTAATAATTGCTTGTGCGGCCTATTTTTTAGTAAAATCAAATGTTGAGTCAAAAAAACAGAAACGTAAGACCAGGCGATGGTAGCAAAGAAGTTTATTTAAAAATCGCTCAAAATATGGTGGATATTCTTCGATTAACCAAACAATATCGTCCTCTGACCAGTCCATGTTTAAAATAGCTTTTTATTTATTAAGGTAAATTATAATGTATACGTTGTTAAAAATTTATACTGTCCAGCATAAACTAAATAAATAAATGCCAAACCACAGAGGTTCTACTCTGGAACGTCCACACACATACTAAGCTCGCCACGTGTTCGCGAACAAACCCTTTGAAGTTACCGACTCGACCCGGAACTTGAACGAAAGCTCGGAAAAGTGTTCGCGAACTATTCGCGAACAGCTCGCGAACTTGGTCTGTACCCTGCTTAAATGTACAGACACCACTAACTCATTTTTATTAAAAAGTGGATAAGCCTAGTTTTTGAATGGACCTCCTCATATAATATATTTCAACCTATTTTCTAAAAATAATACAATATTATTGTATTATTTTTAGAAAATAGGTTGAAATAAGCTTGACACTAACAGAAAATAAAATTTAATTATTTTTATCAGTCATGTGGTGGGACTTTGATGTGTGGAATATAGTACATTTAATATTCCATGACAAGTTCTTGTCAATGACAATGAAAATGGCGCGATCTAAATGGTTTACCAAAAAGAGCCATATATAACTTAGTTTTTGGTAGTATCGCCATTTGAAGCGTTTGATAAATAAATAACGGTTGGCTGTGACTAGTGTTGGGATCACTTGAGTGAAAAATAATTATTACTTGGTTATTGAAATAACCTGAATTATTCAGTTATGAGTTTTGGATTCAAGAGATGAATAAATAACCAATTATTTGCCCTGTGTGGCTATATATTTTTATGTCCATGCTACTGCCAGTGAGTAACGAAATCTGATTGAAAAAAGTCTAAAACACCATGGTAAAAATCTGTAATTTATATTTTTAGTTAGTTACAGAAATCTGCGCATTTTACAGTTAAAGTTTGTTTACAATTTGAATTCATAGAAACTAGTTTAATTAGCATTAAATTTAAATTATTATGTAGAAAAAATGTAATTACTTTTATTATAGTTTAAGGTTTTCATAAAAAATATACTGTATTAATTAAAGCTTAATTTTCATGTATCCGTTTGTCCGTCATCCGTATGTCAGTTTTTCAATAAAATCGTCCGATAAGAAATGTTCTAATTTTCATGCATACGTTTTTTAATGACGTTTAACGGATTGATTTTGCGACAAATAGAAATTAAGTGTCAGTATATTCACTTACTAAATTTACCTAATGCTTAATTGTCATAGTTACAATTATGTCAACAATTGTAACTTTAACAGTTAGCTGTCTAATAAATTTAAAGGTAGGTAAATATACCTTATAAAAAGAATATACTAGCCCTAATATAGGTACATTAAAATGTATAGTTTTAGAAAAGCAGGTCCTTTTAGTTCTAGTTTTAATTTTTTTTGTCCTTTCTTATTTTCCGTTATTCTTATTAAATAAAAACTTAACAGTGAAACATTATTCACATAACGAACGTAATATTTCCGTTTTACAATCTTATTGAAAAAATATAAAAATATTTGAAAATAAATTATCTTAAAATAACGTTAGGCGTCAAAAACAGATGTTTAGTGACGGATGAGTTATCTACGCCAGTGAGATAAGAACTTCTTATCCCACTCATTTTGAGTGAGATAAGAAGTTCATTAACGCACGCGTTTTTCTCTGTTTTTAACCAATCAAATAAAAAAGTCAAAATAACCCTAAATTAAGTCTTAGACAAAAATAATTACCGTTTATTTTTTCATTTAGAGGCGTAGATAAAAATTTGTACAATATACGTGTGATAACGCTTTATTAACGTACTTTTGCATTTCGCATGCGTACGTTAATAAAGCTCTTATCCCACTTATATCGTAAATAACTATTATCTACGCCAATGGGATAAGAACTTCTTATTCCACTCATTTTGAGTGAGATAAGAAGTTCATTAACGCACGCGTTTTTCTCTGCTTTTATTTGATTGGTTAAATTAACCAATCAAATAAAAAAGTCAAAATGTCAAAATAACCCTAAATTAAGTCTTAGACAAAAATAATTAACGTTTATTTTTTCATTTAGAGGCGTAGATAAAAATTTGTACAATATACGTGTGATAACGCTTTATTAACGTACTTTTGCGATTGCCCAACTCGTGCTACGCACTCGTTGGGCAAATTTCGCATGCGTACGTTAATAAAGCTCTTATCCCACTTACATCGTAAATACTATCGCTAACAAAAAAAACTCATACAGCTATATTGTGGCTGTGTGAATAAAACTTTTCCGTCAATGTCAAGCTGACATCGAGCTTTGTCACATCCATTATGACTTTTTTAACAACATTTTCAACCAAACAATGCAGACGAACTCTGGCAAGCCATTGAAGCCATTTGGAACGAGATAAAGCAAGACGGCGACTTCAATGCTTTGCCGTTTGCGGGCAGTAATTGACAAAAACAGAGGGATGACGAAATATATTTTTTTTCAAACTTCAACCTAACTTTGTATTTAATTTTAGACCTTTCAAATGTGATGTATCGTGTTAAAAGCCATAATTATTCCAACGAAATGATAGAAAATCAGAAACACTAGATTTTTAAGCTGTATGAGTTTTTTTTGTTAGCGATAGTAACTATAACCTTTCTCTGTCAGACGTACGAAGTTGAAACTTGACGGACCGATAAAATGTCATAAATTTCGTATTATAATTGGACCAATAAGAACGCTCCCGGATGAACAGACTGACGGACAAACGGATACATGAAAATTAAGCTTAAAACGTAAACTTTCTGCCGTGGAATCGGGGACGAAACAACGTATTTTGAGTCAAGGTAGTAAGAAAAAGAAATTTTTAAGATCAACTTTAGAAGCCAACTTGATTGCATTTGCCAATTTTTTAAGGTCGCGTTACGCGATTAATGACATTATGAAAGGTTTTCTAAACAAGTTTTTATTGACATTTTGTTTGGGTTAAATATCTAATTTTTATACTCTTTTTGTATATTAACGTATCATGATATATATGAACTAGTGATGGGTCCAACCAGCACATTCTTGTGTGCTAGCACACGCTGCACAGCACACTACAGTGTGCGGCACTGTGCGTGTCGTACATTTGTGCGGGGTGGGGAAAATGATTCAAATTGAGAATCTCGCACGTTGCACAGCTCAGCACACTGTGCGTGTCGTATCCAACTGTCGGTTTTGGATTTTTAATTTATGTAAAATCCAGTTTTGTGTTTTTTTATGTTTATTATTAAAGTCGATAAATACAATTTTAACTTAAACCCTTTTTTGATAAGAGGCAATTTTATTTTAATATAATTATAATATAGACTGTGTTGCCATCTATGGACATCACGATAAATTATGGATTGGATATTTTCCAAGATATACAAACTGTTAATTATATAAAATAATTTCTCCACAACTTGTAACCTATTGTAGTGCCATCTATGTGTTCTGTGCTGAATCATAGAGTCAAAGCCACATACGTAAAGATTCTTTACTAAAGAGCCATAGGTTGGATAAAGAGCAGTGCTGTGTCATCGCACTGTGCCACATATGATAAAGGCGCCTTTTTTATCTCTGGGTGCTATGTGCTGGTAGCACATTTAAAAAGAGTCGTACCAGCTCCGCACACAAAAAAGTGTCGTACATTATGTACGACTCGCACATGTGCGACCCATCACTAATATGAACAAACACTTTCTTATCATGAAAAAATGCAGTGTCTGTGTCTCCCACCCATTATAATGGAAATACCACAAACAAATTAATAACTTACACAAGCATCAAATGTTCCTGGTGCTACAACAAGATTATCCAGCACCGATTGAATTTTGGTTACCAAGTTAAGAATGGCAGTCTGCTCAGCTGGTGTAGGAGATAAATCTGTATTACGTTTCAACAAAGCATTTGTGAATGCAGTCTCATCTGGAGCTGGTTTTACTCTCGGAAATGATGATTCGCATAGGGCCAAATCGAAGGGATGTCTTGGCAAAAACATCTTTGCTTTGTATGGTGGTCTGCCTCCGATACCTCTGCTCATTCCTCCTCTACCTCTAATTCCACCACCTCTAGCCATGATTATATTCTAGAATAGTAAAAAAATAAGACCACTTATTTTCAAATGTTTATAATTGGTTACTATGCCTTAAATATAAAATAACAATCAACTTACCGGTATCGTGATGAAGCCACGCCAATAAAGCACAAAGAGGGATATTCAAGTTTATCTATTTGGCAGGACTGTTATTCCTCTTCTTCTGTATTAAATTTACGTAGTTGTTTATTTTTTAAAATCAATAGTCTTCTACAAACAATAATTTACGGTAAAATTAAATCACCAATATTTTTAAAACAAAATCTATTTGATATGCTTTATAAAAGTTAAAATATCGATAAAATATAAAATACATAAATTTGGCAACACAGCATTTTAGGATGTTTGTTGATATTAGAAGAAGAAGAATAGCCTTTGGTGGTTTTGTTAGGTTAATGTACAAATTTTATTTGGAAATCAAAATATCTATTGAAATAAGGTAATATTACTAATATTATATTAGTTAAAATAAACTATACGCCATGGCGGATGCCGCGGCCAGACAGCTTCAATATGAATACAAAGCGGTAAGTTTACAAAAGAATTAAAAATATCCGATCGGTATACAAACGTTTACAAAACGAACGGATTATAATGGTGAAATTAATAATTTTAGAATTCCAATTTGGTCTTGCAAGCCGATGTTAGGCTTATTGAGAGAAGAAGTAGAGATGAAGCCACAGGTGAAGTTATGTCCCTTGTGGGCAAATTGGTTGGCACCAAGATGGGAGATCGGGCACAAAGAACCAAACCTGGTAAAGCTGAAGAGCGAAAAGTCAAGTAAGTATTGAATATTGCTTCATAATATTTAAAGTAACTAAGAAATATAATTTTAATTTAGGAGACAAAAAAGAGATGAAGCTCAATATGATTTTACAAGAATGAAGGGGGCAACCCTTTTATCTGAAGGTGTAGATGAAATGGTGGGAATTATATACAGACCAAAAACTCAAGAAACCCGCCAGACATATGATGTGCTACTAAGTTTTCTACAAGAAGCTTTGGGTGACCAACCCAGAGATATTCTGTGTGGAGCTGCTGATGAAGTATTATCAGTACTGAAAAATGATAGGTTAAAAGAGCGAGAGAAGAAAAAAGAAACAGAAACACTGTTGGGTCCAATAGCTGAAGAAAGGTTTGCCTTGTTGGTCAATTTGGGTAAAAAAATAAACGATTTTGGGAATGAGGAGAAAGCAGCTGCTGGTGAAGAAAATATTGATGAACAATATGGTATTAATGTTCAATTTGAAGAATCAGAAGAAGAAGATGATGAGGATATGTATGGTGAAGTAAGGGAGGAAATGGAGGCTGAGGAGGGAGAAGAAGCAAAAGAGGATGGGGCTATACATTCAGAAAATGTAAGTTAATTTTTTTTTATACACAACATAACAAATAATACTACAACAATAAAAAATATGTGTTGGAAGTTCCAACTTGGAACCATGAAAAATGGATCCAGTATTACAAAAAATGAATATATTTTTTCTTTTAAATACTTACATTTTCACAATTTTTTTATATGCCAAATTTCACCAGCACCCCTGTGTTCTGATTTTCTCAGTTTATCTCACTCCATGATTTCTCATGAATTTTATTGATTTGTGTATCACCTGAGCTTATGGCATAATAAAGAAATCATTTTGTAAGTTAACTTAAAATTAAGAGGCGCGTGGATGGACATAGAGCATTATGCGCGCGTTTTAAATAAGGGCCCATGAAAACAAGACTTAATAGCTTTGTTCGCGGAGCCCATCCATGACTAGTTCCGTATCTGTATAGGGTAAATAATCACGAACCATGGTACGCATGCGCGATTCGGAACCGATCAAGAATTAACAAATCTCCGCGAACGCGTTTCTAACCGCAACCATCAGTCAGCTGTTTTGTGACAAAACTTTTTGGGGAATCTCCTTCCTGATAATTATAGTATTCAGAATTGCTAAATCGCTCTGCTAAATCATCAACAATCTCTTTGCTAACTCGAAAATGCTCCCTAAATAGCTGATCATCGAACATGGAAACAATTTCTTCAAAATATGCAGTATTTTTAGGAACTTAAATTAAATCTAAACTATTTTTAAAATCTTCATCACTGGATGATAGATGATCACTCATCTATAAAATAAGCAAGGAAATGAACAATGCAAGTAATAAATAAGTATTTCAACTTACGTTTTCGTATATAGAACATATAACCTAAAATAAACTTTAAACAATAATGAACAATACGCATGTCTGACAGCTAGTACATGCTAAAATCCTCGGATCGTTTTGACTTGTCAGTAATTAGTTCGAAACTGGTCCCGAAGGCTCCGCGAACGAGTGATCAAATGTCAAATGTTGCCGATTTTTACACCGCGAACGCTAAAATTGCCAGTGCGCATGCGCAGTTGTCGCGGATTGATCACGGATGAGCTCCGCGAACAAAGCTAATAATGGAGGAGTAACTGGACAACAAGGCATAATATGTTACTCCATATAGAATACACAGGAAAGCTTATGGATGCGTCAAGCAAAAAAACAAATTTGGGTCCCCTTTAATAAAAATGCAGGATGCACAGTTTATTTTTAAAATATATTTAAATAAAAATGAAAAAATATTTCTACTAAAAATTACAACTTTACTTCTTTAGCATTCAATTGAGCAAATTTGTTAATTAAATGTTCATAGTTTCTTGGATCATGGATGAGGGTAAATAATGCTTTATCAGCTTTAACATGCTTTTGCGGATAATTTCAGATAATTTTAATATTTGATATCACTAATAACGCAGGTTTAACTTTGTTTACAAAATTTTAAAATATTGAGACCAAATACTGGGAAATTCTCTTACCAAGGCTGGTTTAATTTTTTTAACCAGTCCAAAAATTTTCTGAAAAACTTTTTATTTGACAAGAAACTGGGCGGCTATGGCTCCCCTTTCTTTTGCGCACCATTCGCCCCGCCCTTAATGCAGCGCTGTCGCAAACTTCTTTTCGAATTCTTATCCAATTCTGGCTGGGTAATACCCACATCAGATTCTGTGCGTTACTACTAAAGTGTGTACAAAAGTCCCATTAAGTGACTTTGGTACAATTAATTAAGGGTCATTTTTTGTTGACCAAAAAACGTACTATGGTCCACACCCTAAAGTCCCACCATGTGACTTTGATAGATTTATTTTTTGTGTTCTAAATTAAGACCTTTATACAGAAAAAAATACATACAGGGTGTTTCTTTTAACTTGAGACAGCTCAATATCTCGAGAAATACGCATTTCACGGAAAAATGTCTTAAATAAAAGGTTAATGTGACTAAAGGGGACATTATTTGGTGCTACCGCTAGCCACCCCCTACCCCTCCTTAAGGGTGAAACAGGGGGTAACTTTGGAAAGTCAAATGGAATGACCCGATTTTTTTCACAGAGTTTGGTAGTACATAAAAAAATAAATAACTTTTATTTAAAACTTTTTTCAATTCATCAACAGATGGCGCTGTAATTCAAAATTTAAGAAAAATGAGTTTCCTTGTAAAATGTATTATTTGAAACGTTTGAAAAATAAAAATTAACATTAACAACAATAGTCGGCTATGAAAACAATTTATAACAAATGTTCGAAATGTCGTCATTCCATTTCAACAATTTATAACAAATGTTCGAAATGTCGTCATTCCATTTCAACACATTTTTGAATGCGGGTAATGAATTCTGGCACACAACGCGCCAACATATCGGGCGGTATCGCCGCACAGGCGTTCCTGATCCGCTCCACCATGTCCTCCCAAGTTGTAGGAATTGCAGCGTAAACTGCAAATTACTGCAGGACCACGTCTACCGATCCACCGCGGTGCACCGGCCATTGAACTCCCGATCCAACACCTCTCGAGCAATTGTCGAATAATGTGCAGGACAACCATCTTGCTGGTACCACATGTTTTGGAGCCGTGCTAGTGGTACATCCTCCAAAATGTCCGTCAGATCGTTTTCTAGAAAATTCCGGTACTTTTCGCCATTTAATGCACCGTCAATAAAGAAGGGTCCGATTAATCGTTCGCTTAAGGTACCGCACCAAACGTTTACCGACCGGGACGCTGTTGCTCCACTTGCACCATGGTGTTGAAATGGAAGGACGACATTTCGAAGATTTGTTATAAATTGTTTTCAAAGCCGACTATTGTTGATTTAATGTTAATTTTTGTTTTTCAAACGTTTCAAATAATACATTTTACAAGGAAACCCCTTTTTCTTAAATTTTGAATTACAGCGCCATCTGTTGATAAATTGAAAAAAACTTTCAAATAAAAGTTATTCATTTTTTATGTACTACCAAACTCTGTGAAAAAAATAGGGTAATTCCATTTGACTTTCCAAAGTTACCCCCCGTTTCACCCTTAAGGAGGGGTAGGGGGTGGCTAGCGGTAGCACCAAATAATGTCCCCTTTGGTCACATTAACCTTTTATTTAAGACATTTTTCCGTGAAATGCGTATTTCTCGAGATATTGAGCTGTCTCAAGTTAAAAGAAACACCCTGTATATTACATTATTTTCAGAAAATAGGACAAAATAGGCTTTGCACCATATAAAAAGAAATTTAAAAGTAATTTTATTTTGGTCAATTGCAAATTGTTTTTGGTCATGACCAAAAACAATTTGATGTGTAAATGCAAATGTCCATTGCGACCTGTACTGTCCCTATTTAGGGCTCTATACGCCCAGAAGGGTCATGAAGGAGGTAGGACGGGATGTTAGACATTTTGGTGTTTGAAGGACGATTAGGCCGACTCAAATCTAAGAACGACGCGGTATCCCCCTAGACAAGGCAGTTAGAATTACTCCAAACATTTGGGATTACTGTATGGAGTTCGGGAGTTGTTATTTTGCTGCAGTTGCCTTCTTCTACGTAGCTACGTTTTGGTCGTTATTGTTTGTGTCCGTGTCCAAGTAGTTTTTTATGTTTATTACCGCAGTAGTGCGAAATTTCTAACAATTTTTTAGTTATTGTGTTGCCCAAGCACGTTAGTCATCTTCGCTGAGTTTGGTCTCTCGTTTTGTTTAAAGTTTATTTTGTTGGGGCCGTTCTCTTAAATTAATGAGTTTATTGCATTTCACGTGTGTTGATGACAGATTTATTGTCCTACTCAGCTTTCATGTAAAATACCGTAGGATGGTGCGGTTTTTTTTGGTATATGTCTTTATTCTTCGTGTTTGCTTACTATTGTCTTACTAATGTTGCTATTGTTACTGATGCACTTTGTTTACTTCATGTTTTTCTAGAGTTTAAGCAAAGTGCCTAATTTAAGTTTTAAGGTAACTGTCGTGTCCAATGTTGCTTATGTGTTAGGTCATGCAGATGTTTAAGGTTACTTATCCGTTATGCAGATGACCCATTTCTCTCTTGTTTGTCATCTTTTGTTTGTCTCGTGAAAATCGTCCAATTGACAGGTGGTAAGACCACGCTGTAGCTAAAACTTATCACTTCACACTTTCTTGAGCGTAGGTTAGTCTCTACTCACTATAGATGTTACACTATATTTTATTTACACTTTAGTAATTATTTGTGGGTTTTAAGCTTTTATGTTTTAAGAGGTCGCTATCCGAGACGTCTTACTGCTTCAAGTATTAGTACGTGACGATATAGAAATTAAATTTTGTAAAATAATTTATTTCTTCTCACAAAAATGCATTTAAAACTTTTAACATAATTTAAAAAAAATGATTTTTCAAAATAAAAATTTTAGACATGTACCTACTGTCAGGGCCGTGCCGTGATATGATGCGAGGATGCGGCCGCATCAGGCGGCACCGTAAAGGGGCGGCATTAGCAGCAACATCAAAAAAAATATATAGGTACAATTTAGATTTTTCAATACTATAATCTTTATGCGACACTTTTTTAGATTAATCTGTGTAATTCCGGTATTAACGTAGGCATTAAGTAAGATTGACTCGCAAAAAGGCGCCTCCCCCGCATATCAAATAACAAGTGCAAGTTTATGTGGAGTAATTCTTTGGTATTATATACAACCTGGGTTTGTAATTATTTTAACAAAGAAATATATTTTACCGAAAGTTTTGTAAAGGTGAAATGCAATTTTGTAAGCATTTTGTTAATTTCAAAGGTTACAAATTATTTTGTTAATGTTTAACAAATTATTCCGTTGAAAAAGTTCACGTGATTTCAGGCAGCCAATCAAAACATTTCCAAGCACAACACACTTATCAACAAGTTGTGTCAGCTTCAACGGTTGTTTATAATATTTAACGGTGACAGGAGTGTTTATAATGTCATTATTGGTTTTCAAATTAAAATTAGGCGATATAGTGAAGTTAAAGTAAATTAGTAAGTGTTTTAAAAGTACTGATAGTTATATTGTACCAAATTTCTATATAATCTGATGATTTCAGAATGGTGTGTTATTTCATTTGTATGTTATTTTTGTGTTCATTTATAAATGTCGGTATGTGTCGGTATGTGTTAATTATGTTTTATTTAGAAAATTGTTTATAAAGCCAGATTTCTTATAACAAATTCTCTTTTTTAAAGTTCCCAATTTACAACAAATACTTTTGATATTGGGTCTTCATAAGAGTTTGTAAAAAATACAAGAATTATGTTGGTTGTAAACTTAACAAAAAGTTATGTGGAATAACAAAAAATCGGGTTATTATTTGGTTAAAATTAACAAATATTGTTTTACTGTGTATAAATGCAAATGACCTACAAGAGAACTATAGTTGTTATACATTACGTATACGTACGTTTTTCAAATTAAAAATATTTTAATTTTTTGCTGTTTTCTTCGGAATCTTTAATTAATTTAAAGAGAAAACATTTAAGGGGCGGGATTTCATTAACTTGCATCATACTGAAAAAATCTACCGCACGGCCCTGCCTACTGTTCTTAATCGATTCAATTGAAAGGTATAAAACTACTTTGTCAAATTTTTCGGGACACAATTTTTCAATACAACGTTAAAATTTTATTTCTTTTTAACGTTTTCTTGTAACTTATTTTTATTTTTACATCCAAATTACTTTTACAATAAAAAAACTTCATTATTTTAATGTATTAGTAAAGTAATTAGTAATTTAAGTTTGGAGATTGCCGCTTTTGCTGCAAAAAAATTAAATTTACGAAAAGTGGAAAAAATACATAGGTAATATCTATGTATTTTTTTCCAATTGATTGAAGTTTACCGGTAATTTTCATTTGATTTTTCTCAGTGGTAATTTACCGATAATTTGACGGTAATTTTGTAAATATTTCAGAAAACAAATATTTATACCATGTGGATGGTCATTATATAATGTATACGTTTTGGGATTATATATTTTTAGTATTTTTTACACACTTAAACCATTTATTATATTATTGTATGTTTTAAAAGTAAACCTACAATAAAATATAATGTTTAAAGTAATAAAGTAAGAACCTACTTGTAAAGAACAAAAAGTATATTTAAAAATTTAAATATCTTCTTCCTCCTCAGTTGGTACTTCTCTTGATTGGCCAAACACGTCTAAATCGCAATCCCACTATCACTGCCATCTGCCAGAAAACAATGCAACTAGGTGAAGAAAATGAATAAATCCAAGCGCGTTATAGATTCAGGGCTAGATGGCGAAATTATTTTTTTCTACGCTTATTACGGAATTTGACAGTTCTTATATGACTTTTTAATCTGGAATTACGTATGTTCCATAAAGTGTTACAGAATAATTATTCCGCACATGTTCTAATGATGAAATGAGCACTGGGGGCGACATCTCTATGTTTATTTTATAACTCACTTGTATTCCTACCAAATCTAGTTTTTTCAGAAAGGCCCGGTAGAAAATATTAATCGGTAGTGTATACAATAGGATTTAAAACAGTTTGCGTTAATAAAAATACCCAAAATATATCTTCTTTACAAGCTAGTTTTAATTCTGTTTGGCCGATTTAGTAGGATCCTATTAGAATATTTAGGTTTGACTAAGTCCCAAAGAGATGGCAGCACTGGTTAATTGTTTACGTCTGTCATTAGTTAATTCAAAATTTGAAATTCAAATAATAACTTATTTGTCATTCCTTACAATTTGTCCATTTCTTCTTTATACTTCCTAATTTAGGTTCTGCAAAATTATGTAAGTAATTTTTATAAGCTTATTTAAAAATTATCTTACTACCATCATAAAATCTAACATCTGTCAAAAGATAACCTAACTTTTTTCCAATTAAATAATTTCTCTGGTATTTTTTATAAGCGTAGAAAAAGTATAGTCTGAAACACGTTTGGAATTGCATATTCCACTCTCGTGAAACAAACTTTTCACAAACTTTTCACTCGAGCGGAATATGCTGTATTCCAAACTTGTTACAGAATATACTATTATCATACTATTTAAGATTATTGTACAGTCCGTATAATACAAAATATATTTTTGTTTTACAAATATAGTAACCAGGGCTTAACTTTACAGTAACTTCTAGTTATAGAACAACATTGACCATTAAATTTCAATGTTAAAAGTTTTAACTTAAAACAGATTGCAGAGCATGTGATTGGTCAAAATGGATATTGTCGGTTTGCTACACCCGGAGATTGCTGGTTTTTGTTGTAGATATAAACATAAAGATACTTATTTTACCAATAACCCAATTTCTCCAAAAAGTTGAGATTGCTGGTTTTGCTTCTATACCCCTCAATTGTATCTTTCAAAGGCAGTATTTAAATTATTATCCACTAAGCCTTACATGCTTGCTGAATTCAATTCAATAGTATCCATTTTATGTCCCAAACCAACCAACAAATAATGTTTTTCATCAAATTTTGTCGCACTGTGTATAATTTGTCATAAAACTAAAAAATAATAACTAGTACTTTGCCCTTAATTTATTTCAATTATAGTTTAAGTTTATTAATATTTATTAAATTAAATAGCTTGGCAGTGTTGATGAGATGAAAAAGGAAAAAATCCTCCATCCCTTGGATATTGATGCATATTGGTTGCAAAGGCGCTTGTCCAAAATATACGACGATGCCATGGTCTCCCAAGCTAAGGCCAATGAAGTTTTAAACGTTCTTAGGGATGCCAATGATGATAGAGAGTGTGAAAACCAATTGGTTTTATTATTGGGCTATGATTGTTTTGATTTTATTAAGATTTTAAAGAAACACAGGCAAATGAGTAAGTTTTTTTTTAATTCTTTACTATTATTTTAAAAATTGTGTTTTTATAGTTTTGTATTGCACTTTGTTGGCAAAATCCCAAAGTGATACAGAAAAACAGAAAATCAAAGATAAAATGTCAGAAAATCCAACTTTAGTAAAACTTTTGCGTCTTTTGGACTCTGGCAAAGGTGAAGATGACATGGATGAAGACGATTCAGAAGCAGCAACATCCAGAAGAAAAAACGATAATGACGATATGGACCCAAATAATTGTGCTACAGTTCCTGGAAACCGCACATTGGTCGATTTTGAGGATCTTGTTTTTGCGCAGGGCTCTCATTTTATGGCCAACAAAAGGTGCCAGCTACCAGATGGTTCCTTCAGAAAACAGCGCAAAGGTAAGTAATCTTTTAAACAATTGATAAAAAACAAACATTTTCTGACCAATACGATATCTAATTAAATTATGGGGTATACAAATGGTGTTTGAATTGAATTAAATAGTGATATTATACACAGGGTGTTTCTAATCAAAATGGATAATGTACATTCAGAGCTGTCAGAAAAAAGTATCTTAGTTACTTTAGAGTAACTTAGTTACTTTAAAGTATCTAAGTTACTGTATCTTAGTTCCTTTATTTTTTTAACAAAAAGTATCTAGTATCTTAGATACTTTTTAAAAGGAACTGTATCTTGTAACTTAAAAAAAGTATCTTAGATACCGAAAAGTATCTTAGATACCAAAAAGGAACTTAAATACCAAAAAGTAACTTAGATACCAAAATGTATCTAAGATACCACAAGAAAAGTTCCTTTAGTCAAGTTGTTCGAAACGGCCGCGGCCATCGAAGTTATTATAATAAGTATACTGGCGACTTCAGCGACTGGCGCCAATCGACTGGCGGCGATTTTTGTTATACCTACTTAATTTTTATTCACCTATACTTCTTTTATAATCTGTGACTTCGCCACCCGCTCTGTAGAAGGGTGTTTCCGTTCGTTGCGACTTGAATTTATAGTGGTAAGTCTGAAATAAGTTAGGTTAGGTAAGTACTTGCACTTGCTTCTTTATGATGTACTGATGTAGGATATTGGTTGTTACATTGTACCGTACATTCTATAATGTTCAATGTATGTTTTCCATTTTAAATTTAAAAAAAATGTTAAAAAAGATTAAATGAAAAGTGTGAGATAATTTTTTTATTTTTATAATTAAGTAGTGTTTAATTAACGATTTTATCTCTTTTTATTTTAAGATATTTTAAAAGTGCCTAAGTTAGACACTTTTTGCATTAGACCCTTCAATGGTTTTAATCAACTAGATTTTATTGAAAAAAATTGTTAAAAAAGTAAGCTTAAAATTATTTGAAAAATCAGGGTGGGGTTGGAACGAATTTTTGTTGGGCGGTTTATACGAAACTTATTACATAATATACAAAGTAACTAAAAAAGTATCTTATTAGGTATCTTAAAAAGTAACTTAAGATACGTATTTAAGTTTCTTTTTTTAAAGAGTAACTAGATACCCAAAGTAACTCCGGATTCTTTTTCAAAAAGTAACTTATCTTGTATCTAGATACTTTTTAAAAGTATCTTTGACAGCTCTGTGTACATTTTATCAAAACACAACAAAGATAAAGAGGTCGATAATTCAAAAGTGAAAATGATCAAATGAATGTTTATTTATGTACCTAATGCACAAAATTGAACTTTGTTAATTAAGAATGAGAAATCATTCAAAAGTACCAAAGAATTTCGTGCATTATATGCATACAAGTTTTTATTGAAATAATAAAAAAAAATTTTTGTCGCATTAAGTTTTGTTGAAATAAAATTGACATCTGTCAATTAACTTTGTTCATTTACACTAAAGTCGGTTTCATATAGTTGCAAATTGCGAAAAATGTTTTCATTGGTCCATTTGATTTGGCGGGAAAAGTTTTTCGACGTTTTGACAGATCCTGAGTATTTGCAAGATTTTAAATCTAGAGATTGATCCAATATTTTGCGAAAATCACACAAATTTGACTTGATGCGCATGCGTTACGCATGCACATTAATGTAATTAATCGCCATTCATGTTTCTTTCGTTTGTATCATAGTGATTCTTTTGTTTAGTTTTATTCAAACTGTTTAAATAAGTGTTTAGGGTTTTTTTTTATAATGGACAAAAGGGTTTTTTGAGGTACATTAATGTTTCTTAAGAAATAATTAATTTACCTTAATAGTCACTTTAAGTAACTTTACTATTTAAGTACCTAAAATAGCATGGGGTCATTCCACGTTACTCGGGGATTTTTGTCCCGCCCGTCACAATTAAAAATTGTGAGTAAAAACTACACATAAAATTTATTTAAAAATATTGTTTTATTATGCTTTTAATAAGTTATAAGCACAATAAAAATAATATTATAAAATATTAATTTTATAACTTGTGGTTTTTACTCACAATTTTTAATTGTGACGGGCGGGACAAAAATTACCGAGTAACGTGGAATGCCCCCATGGCAAATACTGCCTAGTGGGAAAATAATGTCCCTAAAATAGTTCGCATCTATGTATATGAAATAGGAGTTGCGAAATGAAAATATTCGTATTTCGGAAATCGCATTTCGCACCTATATGAAACCGACTTAAGGTAAACAAAACAAATGTGACCTTTTTTCAAACGCATATTAATAAATATGTCAGCTTTTTTTAACGGTTGTAACTTTTGAAATTCAGCTTTTTTAACTAAAAAATTGTAAAGGTGCATTCGAAAAACAAATGAAACAAATTGAAAATCTCAAATCTCAAAAACCTTGCCATAAAAAAACAATTTAAATTTTTATGTTTAGTAGGCCAAAATACATTTAAAAAAAATAGTGGCATCAAATGTACATTTTGGCTGTAAACTGGTGTAATCTGTTAATACCATATCTCAAAATACGTTCCCAAACAAAATCTATTGAGTTTTTTTAAATACTGTTATGAATATATACATAGTTAACGAGTAGTGAACCATATTGTATTGGATTAAAATTTAACATATTCTCATTTATTTTCTGGAAATTTTCCTTTTAAGTTGTCTAAACCTCAAACCTAATTTTATTTGTTTGTTGATTTTTTTATGTATGTTACTATTGCATTCATTTTAAAACAGGATTTCTAAAAATGATATTCTTGATTTTATATTTAAAATTGAATTGAATTGAAAATATTTCATTTTGTGTCACAAGTTATGAACATCCTGTATTTGCACTCTGTTCGTAATTTTTATTGGACCTTTTGTTCAAATCTAAAAAAACGCTTTTTTACATCTGTAATTCGCACACCCCCTAACTAAATGTTTCTAATATTTCTAAGGATATGAAGAAGTCCACGTTCCCGCGTTAAAACAAAAACCTTTCGGCGACAACGAGAAACTGCAGCCCGTCGAGGATCTACCAAAATACATTCAACCAGTATTCGATGGTTTCAAAACTCTCAATCGCATCCAAAGTAGATTGTACAAAGCCACCATTGAATCTGACGAAAATATACTTCTATGCGCTCCTACGGGTGCCGGTAAAACTAACGTCGCCTTGTTGTGCATGATGAGGGAGATCGGTAAACATATAAATCCGGACGGAACCATAAACTCAGACGATTTCAAAATTATCTACGTCGCACCTATGCGTTCTCTCGTACAAGAAATGGTGGGCAATTTCGGTAAGCGGTTGGCCAGTTACAACATAACCGTTTCTGAGTTGACCGGAGATCATCAACTGACTAGGGATCAAATTGCGGACACGCAGGTTATCGTTTGCACCCCTGAAAAATGGGATATTATTACTAGAAAAGGGGGTGAAAAAACGTTCACTTCATTGGTGCGTTTGATAATTATCGACGAAATCCATTTGTTACACGACGAAAGAGGTCCCGTTCTTGAAGCTTTAGTAGCCAGAACCATACGTATGATAGAGTCCACGCAAGAAGATGTAAGGTTAGTTGGCCTATCTGCCACATTGCCTAACTACCAGGATGTAGCTACGTTCCTGAGGGTTAATCCCGATTCGGGATTATATCATTTCGATAACAGCTTCAGGCCTGTCTCATTAGAACAACAATATATCGGGGTAACAGAGAAGAAAGCATTGAAAAGATACCAAGTGATGAACGAAATTGTCTATGAAAAAACTATGGAGCATGCCGGTAGAAACCAAGTACTAGTCTTCGTACATTCCCGCAAAGAAACAGGCAAAACCGCAAGATCCATTAGAGATATGTGCTTGGAGAAAGATACTCTAGGACAATTCTTGAGAGAAGGTTCAGCCTCTATGGAGGTGTTAAGAACAGAAGCCGAACAAGTTAAAAACCACGAACTTAAAGATCTACTTCCCTATGGATTCGCTATCCATCATGCTGGTATGTCGAGAGTTGACAGAACATTAGTGGAAGATTTATTCGCCGACAGACATATTCAAGTGTTGGTTTCTACCGCCACATTAGCTTGGGGTGTGAACTTACCGGCTCACACTGTAATAATCAAGGGGACGCAAGTATACAATCCAGAAAAAGGTAGATGGGTCGAATTAGGCGCTTTAGATGTGCTTCAAATGTTGGGTAGAGCGGGAAGACCTCAATACGACACCAAAGGCGAGGGTATATTGATAACAAACCACAGCGAGCTGCAATACTATTTGTCCTTGCTCAATCAACAACTTCCCATTGAATCCCAACTAATATCCAAACTACCCGACATGCTCAATGCCGAAATAGTCTTGGGAACGGTTCAAAATGTTAAAGATGCCGTTACATGGCTGGGTTATTCATATCTATACATTAGAATGATGCGGCAACCGACTTTATACGGTATATCGCACGATCAAGCCAAGAACGATTCGCTTTTGGAACAGCAAAGAGCTGATTTGGTTCACACAGCGGCTCTTCATTTAGATCGCAGCGGTCTTATTAAGTACGACAGGAAGACCGGTCAGTTCCAAGTCACCGAACTCGGTAGAATTGCTTCGCACTACTACTGTACTTTTGACACCATGAGCACTTACAACCAACTGCTTAAACCTATGTTGAGCGAGATCGAGCTTTTCAGAGTTTTCTCGTTGTCATCCGAATTTAGGAATATTACCGTTCGTGAGGAGGAGAAATTGGAACTGCAAAAATTAATGGAACGTGTACCGATACCTATCAAAGAAAGCATGGAGGAACCGAGCGCCAAGGTTAACGTTTTATTGCAGGCTTATATATCCCAATTAAAATTGGAAGGTTTCGCGCTCATGTCCGACATGGTCTACGTTACCCAATCAGCTTCCCGACTCATGAGGGCCATATTTGAAATAGTTTTGCACAAAGGTTGGGCTCAATTGGCCGACAAAACTTTGGCTCTCTGTAAAATGATCGATAAAAGAATGTGGCAATCCATGTCGCCGCTAAGACAGTTCCGTAAGATGCCCGAAGAAATCATCAAGAAAATCGAAAAAAAGAACTTCCCCTGGGAGAGGCTCTACGATTTGGGCCCCAACGAAATCGGCGAGCTTATTCGTGTTCCAAAACTAGGCAAGACCATACACAAATATGTTCACCAATTCCCAAAACTCGAGTTATCAACTCATATACAACCAATTACTAGGTCAATGTTAAAAGTGGAACTGACCATAACACCCGATTTTCAATGGGATGATAAGTTGCACGGAGCTTCGGAAGCTTTTTGGATTTTAGTGGAGGATGTGGATTCAGAAGTCATTTTGCATCACGAATTTTTTCTTCTCAAAGCTAAATACTGTCAAGACGAACATCTGATTAAGTTCTTTGTACCAATCTTCGAGCCTCTACCGCCTCAATATTTCTTGAGAATAATATCCGATAGATGGATAGGAGCTGAAACCCAACTGCCCGTGTCGTTTAGGCATTTAATATTGCCTGAGAAAAATTTCCCTCCCACTGAATTGTTGGATTTGCAACCGCTACCCATAACAGCGTTAAGAAACGACCAATATGAATCGCTTTATTCTGAAAAGTTCCCGCAATTCAACCCGATTCAAACCCAAGTGTTTAATACTGTGTACAACGGCGATGAAAACGTGTTTATTGGAGCACCGACTGGTTCAGGAAAAACCACAATAGCCGAATTTGCAATTCTAAGATTGTTCGAAAAGAACCCAGACGGACGTTGCGTGTATTTGGTTCCGAAAGATGCCCTGGCCGAGTTAATATTCGCCGATTGGCACAATAAATTTGGGCAGGTTCTCGGCAAAAAAGTCGTTCTGCTTACAGGCGAAACCGGTACAGATTTAAAGTTGCTGGGTAAAGGTCAAATCGTCATTACAACCGCAGAAAAATGGGACGTGTTGTCCAGAAGATGGAAGCAGAGAAAAAATGTCCAAAACGTTAATCTCTTCATCGCCGATGAACTTCATTTAATCGGAGGTGAGGATGGTCCTGTTATAGAAGTCGTGTGCTCCAGAATGCGGTACATTTCCTCGCAAATCGAGAAACCCATAAGAATATTGGCATTATCCTCCTCTCTAACGGACTACAGGGACGTCGCTCAGTGGTTAGGTTGCAACTCCAACGCCACGTTCAATTTCCAACCAACCGTGAGACCAATACCTTTGGAGCTACACATCCAAGGTTTCAATATCACCCACAATTTGTCCAGATTGGTTGCCATGGGCAAACCGGTTTACAATGCCATTCATAGGTACAGCGTTCATAGGCCCGTCATTGTGTTTGTGCCGACAAGAAAACAAGCCAGGATGACCGCCATTGATTTGTTAACCTACGCTGCTGCCGAAGGACAGCCCAACAAGTTTTTCCATGCTGAAGAAGAGGACATTAAGCCGTTTTTAGACCGTATGTCAGATAAGGTAAGATGCATTTTCTTTATAAAAAAAATAATTAGCAATATTTGATCATATACCTACACTAAATCATATTTTATCTCTAGAGAGGTAACTGCACAAAATGCTTTAAATGCTTAACGAGACTTTGCGTTTAACCACACATGGTGTGCCTGAACTGAAGTTTAAGTCATTTAAAAATGCCGCCAAAAACTGATTGCAGTTTCTTGTTCGGGACCCTTTGGTGACTTAAAAATGATATTTACCAAAATTCTAGCTGCTCCTCTTTTCGAAATTTTTTGAAAATTTATGATTTTTTTTTAAATTTTTGTTTATTTCAAAGTCTACCTTTGACAGAGTACACATTTGTACTCCGATTTTTATAAAATTAGGGTATGTTATTGAGGAGACTTAAAGAATACTTTTTAATCCTGTTCACATCATTTGATATACAGGGTGTTTCATAATATATGCGCAGGACTTCAGGTTGTGATAGCTCAACCAAAAAGATGAAAAAAGTCGCTATTAACTTACCCTCTAAAATGCACAATTTTCGAGATACAGGGTGTTGAAATTTTAGAAAAAAAATCGTTTTTTTCGATTATCTCTGGAACCGTTTATCGTACAAAAAACAGCTTTTGTAAGCATTTTCTACTCATAATAAGCTATGTTTTGTGCCAGAAAAAATTTTTTTTTACTCATAATTGGTGGAGATTTTGAAGGGGTAGCGGGTGTTTTTCTCCTCAACTTCTACGCCCCTGAAAAAAGTACGGTTTCGAACCGCCAATGTTTTCTACACAAAAAAAGGTACTCTTGGTCATAAGCTCTAATGTTGACCGTTTTCGAGAAAAATCAACTTTTATGTTTAAAAACATGGTCAATTTTTTGAAAAAAAATTTTTATTATTAATTAAACAAAATTTATTTTAACGTTAGAAAAAGTAACAAAACCAAACGATAATTGCAAAATAAAAAAAATAATAAAAAATGATTTTTTACACAAATGCTGAAATGTGCGAAATGCGTTACCTTTACGGTTTCGAGAATTTAACAAAGACAACTTTTGAATCATTTTTTATTTTGCAATTATGGTTTGGTTTTGTTACTTGTTCTAAAGTTAAAATAAATTTTGTTTAATTAGTAAAAAAAATATTTTTTTTTAAATTGACCATGTTTTTAAACATAAAAGTTGATTTTTCTCGAAAACGGTCAAGTTTAGAGCTTATGACCAAGAGTACATGGCGGTTCGAATGGGCCTCTCAAAACCGTACTTTTTTCAGGGGCGTAGAAGTTAAGGAGAAAAACACCCGCTACCCCTTCAAAATCTCCACCAATTATGAGGAAAAAAAAATTTTTTCTGTCACAAAACATAACTTATTTTGAGTAGAAAATGCTTACAAAAGCTGTTTTTTGTACGATAAACGGATCCGGAGATATTCGAAAAAATCGAATTTTTTTCTAAAATTTCAACACCCTGTATCTCGAAAATTGTGCATTTTAGAGCGTAAGTTAATAGCGACTTTTTTCATCTTTTTGGATGAGATCACATCCTGAAGTCCTGCGCATATATTATGAAACACCCTGTATACAGGGTGAGCCAAAAATCGCTTATTTTTAATAAAGCAAAAGCGTAAATTCATGATTTTGGCATAACACGCAAAAAAGTTTTATCCCCATTTTGTTTTAGATATTTCTACGTTTATCAGGTTACAAAACGGCATTCTTATTAACCTTTTATAAAAAAAACAGATTTTTAATAAAATTAAATAAAATAACGCTTAGAGAATATTTAAAATGTTTAATTTAGGCTTTTTAGTAGTTTTCAATTTTGAACGAAAAACTGGTTAAAGTTTTTTGATCGGCTGGAGATTTAAAAACGATATTTACCAAAATTCTAACTGCTTTTTTAAATTTGTTAAAAAATAATTTTTTTCAAATTTATTAAAAAATCATTGTTTTTTAAATTATTTGTTTATCGCAAAGTCTACTTTTGCCAGAGTACGCATTTGTACACCGATTTTTATTGATTGCAGTTTCTTGTTTGGGACGTTTTGGTAATTTTAAAATGATATTTACCTGCTCCTCTTTTCGAAATTATTTGAAAATTCTTAATTTTTGTTTATCTCATCTTTGACAGAGTACACATTTGTACACCGATTTTTATAATATTGGAGTATATTGTTAACGAGACTGTTTTCATACTGAGCACCCCAAGTAACATTTTTAGTTTTATTATGGTCTTCAAGAACGCTTTAAAACAAAAAATAAATTCCTTTATTAAAACGCTTTACTCTTATAGACCTCCTGAAGATATCCTCGCAACCTTAATAAGCTAAAAAAGGCGCATCTTATTAAGGTTCTGGCATCGCCTATTTTAAAACCAAAAAATATTTTTAAAAATTATCCTAGAGTAGTCTTAAAGGTAACTTAAAAAGTCAAAATAGGTTTAAAGCGTACTTAAAGAAAGCTTTAAGACTACAACAAAACCAATTAGTTTTAAGATATACTTTTAAATGACCACATTAAAACCAGGTTTTTTGGTATAATTCTACGAAGACTTAAAAAGGTACTCAGGGCTTCTATAAAACTTATGTGTAGATAATATTAAATCCTTTTTAAGACAAAATAGAATGTAATAAGAGGAACTAGACTTAAAGATGGATTATATTGGTTTTAATAATTATAGTATAATGAATACTTATTTTATTAATGTCTTATGCAGGTATTATAATATATTATATTTGTATGACCTTAAGTTATTGTCTACGACGATCTGTTGTTTAAGATTTATAATATAATATGTTAGTTATTATATTTAATAGTATGAGTATTAGTCTGGCCAAAATATTAAACGCAATTATTTTTATTGACTAAACACTATAAAATAGCTTCAAAAAATACATGCGCCTTACAGTTAACGTAAATTTAAACATTTTTTTAATAATATTTTATTATATATTTTAAGCTGATTCCGTTACATGCACTGTGGGTTAAAATAATTTTTGATATGTTTTGCGATAGAAACAAAATTACTAAAACAAACTTTGACCCGATAATAAAAATTTAACAACTCAGATATCTTGGGTGTATACAGCGCCGGATTATAAAAATTTGCGCCCCGGGTCTAATAAAAATTTTCCGCCCCTACCTATATAATAAATTCAAAGAAATGTCACTTCTTAACAAAAGGATTTTATTTAACCATAAACATTAGGGTTGTAGTATTTTTTCGAAATTTTTTTGATTTTGGAGATCAAATAAAAAAAATAAGTCTAAAGTATTTGAGTTTCAACAGATAAAAAAATTTTAGACGTCGCTCAAAACTTTTTTAAACCAACCTTTTTTCTCAAAATCTTTGGCTTCTCACTATTTTTTTTGTAGGTCGTATAGGAACATAATACATTTTTAAGTCAAAATATTATTGGTCGCTTAATATTTTTGAAATACATTTCTTGATTTTTTTAATAATTTTGATCTTGTACCCTAATAACACAAGTATATACTAGAAACATGCCAGAAACATATGCATGCGACAATAGAAACATCCCAGGAATGACCCTATTTTCCCACAGATATACCAGAAATGTTTCTGGCAATGACCATGTCGCCCTTTTTAACGTCCCTCGGCCATCCTTTTGGGATGTTTTGAGATCATCTTAGAATGTTGTAGGTATGTCTTTAAGACATTTTATATTTACTTTCAGAACATAACAGAAATGTTTCATACAAAACATTTATGAAATTTTTATAGGTTTTTTCCTTAAATAAAAAACATTAAATACTTTTATCATTTAATTAACATAAAACCATTAACATAACTGAAAATACGCATAAATAAAAATAAATAGATAAAAATTTACAAAACTCTTCATCGATGAATCCGCAAAAACTCGTTTGAGACATTTTTGACAAAATCGATTTTTTTTTGCATAATTAAGTACTTACCTCATATCTACCCATACAACGAAGACTATTGTAACTCAGTTTTGATTGTAGACTAGAGTAACTCAACTTAGTTTTCGCCTGTAGGAATGTGGATTATTACACTTACTATACAGGGAAGTTGTTCACTGGTTGCCTATCGTTTCATGTCTGAGTTACTGTAATCTTCCACCAAATAGAGCTTGAAAAAATCTGTTGATGCCATATAGTAAGTCAAAACCCACGTTTTTTGAGTTACTATAGTCTTCGTTGCATGGGTCGATATAATAATGCACATGATTGTAAAACCTCTTATCTCCCAAGATAATCTCAAGACCCTTAAAAACAAATTAATTTGTCCTATAGGTATATTTAAAAAAAGCCAGATATGAGAGCTTTTAATGTTTTTTTCGTCTCCTGTAAAACTACAGTTTTTTTCATACGAGGTTTTGCGGATTCGACGAGTTATTACCTAAAACAGCTTTAGAAATCTTGGATTGGCTAAAATCTTTTTTGCCCTTTTTCCCAATAAAGGAAAACTGTTGTGCGACCTGGTCTGAAATAAAATCATACAGGTTATTGCCATCAATACCCACAAAAAATAAAACCTTAAAAAAGAAACTAATATAGAATTTAATTATAATAATATTTATAATGTTTTCTTACCAAATCATCATAATTTACTTACCAAAAAAGACGCCTCAGGCCACCCACACAAAACAATAACTTAAAGTGTACAACTTAAAATTTAATTTAATTTAATTTAATTAAGTCTTAAATTACTGTGATCACATTATAAAACGAGAAGAAAATTCTCGACACAGAACGTTCTCGATTTTCACGAAATGTCATTCTTGGCAATAAAAGCCGCGAACCTACAGAGATGCCGTTGGTTACAAAACAAAATTCCCCAGGTAACAATCAATTAAAAAATATCTAGTATGACGACATTGTTCGCGGTCAATTTAAAAATTACAAAGTTATTGATATTATAAGAATTTGGTGGTTTTGATAAATTGATAGGTTATTTTTTTTTAATAAAGTGTGTTATGTGTTTTGATTTTTTAATTTTTTTATTATACCTTAGTGCGTATTTGCTAAATTATG